ATACTTGATTAAAATACCTTTCTATCACACACATTGATGAATTCACAGCAATGCGATATCTAATAGAGCTGAAGCTGGGCTGAAAGGGTAAAAAGAATGTCTCCATGACTATTTCATTTCCCATATCATACTTGATTAAAATACCTTTCTATCACACACATTGATGAATTCACAGCAATGCGATATCTAATAGAGCTGAAGCTGGGCTGAAAGGGTATAAAGAATGTCTCCATGACTATTTCATTTCCCATATCATACTTGATTAAAATACCTTTCTATCACACACATTGATGAATTCACAAGGTCATAAATTCTTACAGAACAGAACAGCATGAATAAACAATAAAGAGAGAACATAATAGATACTGAGAGAACATAATAATGTTTTATATCGGTGCATCTTCCTGCTGCGATGGATCCCGACAGGGACGCCCATAGTGGAAAGGATAAAAGTATCCTGCCCCACAAAAGGTCTGTTTGTGTTTGTTTCAGTAAGGTTTTACGGCGCTCGCAACTGCATAAGATCATATGAGCACCAAGGGGGTGGATGTCAACAGAGAAGTCAGGACGGGTATCAGGCTTACTCTGTTCACCTCTCTAGCCTCAACAGTACAAAGTCTGCTTCGACTATCAAGGCAAACCGGAAATAGCAGTTCCCAAAAGAGTGACAAACATACAAAAGAAGTAGAGGACAAAATGACGATAGTAAGGATGAGGAAAGAAAAAAAAGTAGGTCCCCCTATGCTGTTCCGGCACAGTATGAGCATGACATTGATAAATCAGCCCATTTACAATTCTACAGTGCACAAGAACATGTTAATATCCCCCTTTTGGGAATGGCCTAAAGACAGTTCAGTCAGTGGCACTGCCATAGGAGGGGGGAGGGAGGTCAACTTATGCAGACGGTTCAGAGGGAGGGGAAAGAAGGACAAAATTTGTTTGTTTGAGTACGTGTTTTTTACAGCACTATCGACCCAGTTTTGGTCAAAAGACAAAATACCACACTCATAGAATACAAATGTTTTTCTAATAGAATACAAATGTTTTTCTAAGAGCTTTCTCCCTTAAGGTCTGTGTCAATGGGGCATGAAACATCCACAACAGCAACTGCATTTGACTAAAACAAAACACAAAAAGAAAAGAAAAGGAAAAGGTTGAGACCTTGAGGTGGATCCTAATGAGAAGAAGGAAGGAGCTATGGACATATACCGTCAATGATGATCCCAACCTTGTAGACAAAAAAAACATAAATCAAACAACAATTAAAAAACCTGCCTCAAAAAAAAAAAATAATATTTTCCAACAGAGAAGATGCTCTTATAGTAGGCTCCTTACCACCAAATTTGTGTCATTGTCTGTAGCTGACACAGATGACACAAGCCGCCCACTGAGGGTGTCGGCCCTGATGCTGCCATTGCAGGAGTTGGCATTGAAGAAGGGGTCCGTATTGCGGACAATGTTGATCTTCACAGGGATGGGAATACTGGATAAGCTGCCACCGTCTTCAGCAATGATGTTGAACTGAGGAGAGAAAGGGAGAAACATTCCAAAAATATGTCTGTGACGATAATGTAGGGCATGCACATTGATAAGTGTGTTTAGTTTTAGTAAGGTTTTACGGTGCTCGCAACTGCATAAGACCATGTGAGCGCCAAGGGGTGGATGTCAACAGAGAAGTCGAAATGGGGAATAAGGCTTACTCTGTTCACCTCTCTAGCCTCAACAGCACAAAGTCTGCTTCGACTATCATCCCAAATGCGTTTGCTTACTGAAGTTTACTTGAGTTTAAGAGGTAGCAAAATCCTTCAAAGAATTCTAAGACACAGAAATCTTCCACAGTCTAGGGGTAGTTTAGAGTGGCTACAATAGGTAGGATGCGCAAAGGCCATTTCATTTCCAAAATGACACAACACAGGAGTATTCCACTGCCATTTTTCCTGATCCTGACATTCAAAGGTTTTGACAAGAAACAAGATGTAAAGGAAAACGAGTACAGATGGTTCTCCCATCTTTGTCGACAGAAGTATTAGGTTGTATCCACATACCGAGCTTCACATGAAATTTTTTAACACTTCACGTATGATAATGTTAAGCATACTACTAATTGGTCGCTTTTAAGCACAAGGGGGCTATCCTGAAAAATGCTGTTTTGAGAAAATCAAAGGTAAAGTTTGTGGACCCATGTTCAGTTTCTTTTAAAGACAAGGAGAGTTTTCTCTATAACCAAACAAATATACACACCAATGAAACCAAACTTCTATACGTAGGGCAATGCCCACTTTTGGCATGAGTCAAGATTTCCGGAAATCCCAAAATCTGGGTTAGCCCGCTTGTCCTTAAAAGTGACCAATTGTAGCCTATGCCGCAACTACAGGCAATAGGAATTAGCAAAGCTACCAGGAGCCACATCAATCAGATCAAATGGAATGAGGGGTACACAACTAGGTATGTTATTTCTCTTACGAGACTTCATAGGAAAGGCTTCAAAAATGGTGAAATGGTACAGGTTGCAAAGGCTTCAAGAAACAACGCTTAATGAAATACTTTATCGGGAAAAAGAATTATTTCCTTCCCTCAGCAAAGACAGACGTGAAAGAAAGGAGTAGGCGCAGTATAGACAGAGAGATAAAACGAGACAAATGTTCTCATTGCTGGAAGCAACAGGACCATGACTATTCTTTCGCAGTCTATAATGAGCCTGGTTTATTAACTTATTAATCGAGACCATGACTCCTTTTTTAATGCAAACTATTCCTTTAGTTTTCTAACAGCTAGCAAGTCCAAGACTATAACAGCTCTTTGGGCTGTAAATAATGAGCTAGGTTATTTAGTTTCAGCAGAGGTTTTACGGCGCTCGCAACTGCATACGGCAAGGTCATATAAGGGCCAAGGGGTGGATGTCAACAGAAAAGTCCTTACAGGGAAGCAGACTTACTCTGCTCACCTCTCTAACTTCAACAGCACAAAGTCTGCTTAAACTATCAAGGCACCGCACCCCGGAAATAGCGGGTCACAAGAGTGAGACAAACATACAAAAGAAGTAGAGGGAAAACGATGAAAGTAAGGATTAGGAAAGAAAAAGCAGCAGTTCCTTGTTGTAGTTCAGGAACAGATATGAGCATGACATTGGTGAATCAGCCCATTTACAATTCTACGGTGCATAAGAACATGGTAATATCCCCCCTTTGGGAATGGCCTAAAGACACTTCAGTCAGTGGCACCGCCCCGGGGGGTTAATGAGCTAGGTTTATCTCAGTTGACAGCTGCACGGCCATAATGTTTCATTCAGATTTCTTCAAATATGAGACAAAGCTTTCGTGTTCACGATCAAACTTACTTCGGAATCTGCCATAGTCGGTGTTGAACCCATGTACAAAGGAGTCCTCACTCGAATGATGCCTTCATTGGCTATCCCACTCAAATCATTCTCAATGGTGAAATACTCATTGGGAGCTTGCATCCGGAATGTGAACGTGTTGTAAGGGTTGCTGAGGTCTGCATCGCCGGCTGTTACACGCAAGATACTCTTCAGGACCGGGGTGTCTTCACCAATGGTGGTCTCATACAAAGGGCGGTCGAAAACAGGTCTGTTCAAGTTACGGTCAATGAGAATGGTGACCGTCCCCTGGTCACAAAGGCCTGGTCCATCACAGACTCGAACGATCACCTGTGAAGTAAGATAGATTCAAACATTTCTTTAGTTTTAGTTTAGTTTTAGTAGAGGCTTTTCGGCGCTCACAACTGCATAAGGTCATATGAGCGCCAGAAGATTAGAGGAGTTAAAAGAGAGTAACAAACATAAAAAAGAAGAAGGGGAGATAAGGACGATAGATGTTTGATAGGAAAGAAGGAGCAAACCACACCAGAGCACCCGCCAACCACTCACTTTTTTTAGTTTTAGTAGGAGTTTTACAACACTTGCAACACAATAAGGTCATATAAGTGCTGAAGAATAGATGTGTTACAAGACAGCAAGGTACACAACAAAGAAGGGAGGGGAGATAAGTACGACAGAGGTTTGATAGGAAAGAAGGAGCAAACCACACCAGAGCACTCGCCAACAACCCACAAATATTTCTTTGAAAAAAAAGAAAAAAATTGGATCCAGCTTTGGTAGCAGTGAAAGAGAATTGCATACCTATCAACTCATGATTAGATGGAAGGACAGCAAGGCAAAAAGGTGGAAACACAGCGGGACAGAATCAAACTATGTTGGAGCAGTAACGACTCTGATTCCCCTTCAGGTAATAAACATACAAAAATCTACTCTTTTATTTTTCCTTCCTCAAGTCCAAAATTTACTAAAAAGTTACAGCTTATGAAGTCAAAGATCAACCACATGAATATCATGATTTGTTTCACAGAGACCCATTGTAACATCACCAAAGTCACCCTGCAGAGAAAAAAATGATCAAGCAATAACGCCTCCACTCAGCCAGCTGAGGTTCATTTTACAAGGACAAAATAGAGGAAGTACATTTTCATTAAGACAGACAGATATTTACCCATAATGGATAAATATAACCATTATCATTATTATTACTATTATTATCAATATCATTAATTTTATTATTATTATTATTATCATTATTATTATTATTATTATTATTATTATTATTATTATGATGCTGGGAGGGGTGGGTAAAAGATAAGGAATGGTATGCATCAAATTCCCCTTTCAACAAAGAAACACAATTGAAAGGACGGGACTTTTCAATTCTGTGTCCATTCCATCTCTGATAGAAGTGAAGCTAGGACGACTCCGCAAACAATTCCTTTTCAACATGGCCCTGAAGGAGATTGGAGCTAGATTTACATGCATAAATATGTCCAGCATGGTATAAACTGGGCCTTACAAACAAAACAAAAAAAAGTATTTTAACTAACAAAACAAAAAAAAATATGCTCTACACAAAACAACTTCTCAACACTTAAGCCACTAAGGTTATCTGCATAGCAGTCCACCATGGTACGAACTGAGCTTTCAAAACATAAAACAAAACAAGAAAAAAGATAAAGAAGGGCCTATATGTTGTTGGTTGTTTTCAAATCCCTTTAGCTGCGAGCATTTCGCTCTTGGCAGGCAATGCCTCCCTCAAGAAACCAAGGGCCGATATAATAACACACTTAACGAAATACGAAAAGAAATGCTGCACACAACGAAAACAGCTCAACAACACTTTGCGGTTACGAAACAACAAGCCTCCGTACGTTGAATTGTTCTGGTGCCGTTGTTCCCACTAGAGATCGTGTGAGCAAGATCTGTCCATCCGCTCCCAGGGAAAAGTAGTTGAACACATTGGAGTCGCCTACAATTGAGAACCGCAGCTTGCTAAACTCCTCCTGCGGAGAAACAAAACGAACAAGCCATTGTGTCAACACCTCCACTCAGTCAGTTGTCTCATTTTACAAAGACCACACAGAGGGAGCACATTTTGATTACTGTTGACAGATATTTACCCGTAAGGACTAAATATAATCATTACCATTATCATTATTATCGTTATCATTTATTATTATTATAATTATTATTATTATTATTAATATTAACATTAATATTATTATATCATTATCATTATCACTATTATTATCATCATCATTATCATCATTATTATTATTATTATCATCATCATCATTATCATTTTTTATTATTATTATTACTATTATCATCATCATCCATATCATTATCATTATTATTATTATATACTATTATCATTATCAGAATGAAATTTAGATAAAATTGCACATGCAGCTTACCACGGTGTCTGTGTCAACAGCCAACACATTATAGACCAGAGTGCCGACGGTGAAGTTGTGGCGGATCAGTTCATCAACGGGAGTGTTGGTGATTCTCGGGGGAGAGTTGCGCACCACCGTCACGGTGGCTGTAGCAGTGTCGGTCAGACCGCCTCCATCCCTGGCCACAATGGTGAACTGGGAGCAACATCAGAGGAGGAGGAGGAGAACATAATGAGGTTTTGTTTTAAGTAGAGGTTTTAAGTTAGTTTTAGTAGAGGTTTTACGGCGCTCGCAACTGCATAGGGTCATATGAGCGCCAGAAGATTAAAGGTGTTACAAGAGAGTAACAAACACAAAAAAAGAAGGAGGGGAGATAAAGACAATAGATGTTTGATAGGAAAGAAGGAGCAAACCACACCAGAGCACCCGCCAACCACCCACGTAGAGGTTTTACGGCGCTCGCAACTGCATAGGGTCATAGGAGCGCCAGAAGATTAGAGGTGTTACAAGAGAGTAACAAACATAAAAAAGAAGAAGGGGAGATTTTAATTTCATTTTTTTAAAATATATAATAATAATAAAAATGAAATGTAAAAAATAAACAACAAGTAGGAATACATATGGATGAGCAAGGATACAAATAGGAAAAGGAATATGAATAACTTTCAACTAGACAGGAGAGGAGGAGAGAGGACACACAGGTGACAAGAAATGATCCAAATGAGACTGATGCCTGTGACAAATAATCCCTGACCAGCAAGATTTTGCCACAAACTTTTTCCAGTTTTAGTAAGTGATATACGGCACTTGCAACACAATAAGGTCATATGTGTGCCGAAGATTAGAGGTGTTAAAAGAGAGTAACAAACACAAAAAAGAAGCAGGGGAGATAAAGATGATAGACGTTTGATAGAAAAGAAGAAGCCAACCACACCAGAGCACCCGCCAACCACCCATCCTCAATCTTTAACTTCATTGAAACATTCTGTTCTAAAATAACCCCATGGCACTACTTCATTTATTTCTTTGAGCAGGATTTGGAGGACCAGGGATATCTCATTACGAACAAAGCTTAGAATTTTCAACTCAAATGTGAAGTCAGTCTTGTTGTATGGATGTGAGACCTGGAACACATCCCATACGTGCATAAAGAGGATCCAGGTTTTCTTCAACAAGTGTCTGAGGAGGCTGTTGAGGATCAAATGGACAGACAGGATCACCCACGAGGAAGTATTAAGAAGAACCAGACAGAGCCCGGTCAGAGATGAGGTGGGAAGAAGACGTTGGCGATGGATTGGACACACTCTCAGGTAGTCAAGCAGCTGTATAACAAGGAAAGTGTTAGACTAGAACCCACAGGGTCAAAGATCAAGGGGAAGACCTCGTGGAACCTGGAGAAGAGTCACGGACATGGATGTACAGAAAAGTGGGAAGACGTGGAGTGACATTAAGCGACTAGCCCAGGATAGGGAAAGGTGGAAAGTGTTTGTTCGTGGCCTATATCCTGACCCAGGGTGAGAAAGGCAATGATGATGATGACTACTTCATATCATCTAGGGGAAAATACTGAAAACAACCCCCCCAAAAAAAAAATTTATGACTTACGGTGTATAGTGTTCGGTTGGATCCGTCAGCCTGGAGATCTTGGAGGACGTTGACCTGGCCATTGGAGAGCACCACAAAGTACGCGCTAGCATTATTGGACGAACTGCCAAACTCGTATCTCACATCTCTGTAAGGTGACTGAATTTAAAAAAAAAAAAAAAGTAGAATCAACTTTCAGCAATGGGAATCCACAAGGTAAAAGATCAACGGGAAGACTGCGTGGAGCCAGGAGAAGAATTACATAAATCGAGGTACAGAAAAGTTGGAAGACATGAAATAACATCAAAGGGGCAGCTCGGGATAGAGAAAGGTGGAAATTGTTTGTTCGTAGCCCAAACCCTGGAGCAGAGTAAGAAAGGCAAAGATGATCATGAACTTTCAGCAACAACTAAACCAATACTTATAAGCAGTGCTAATTCACTGACAGCTCCGATAACTATAGCTTTAAGCCAAGCATCAAGAACTCTTTGAAAGTAAACGGAACTATGGTATTAAATGGGAACATAAGTTGGAAAATTGTTACAACTTCTTTTTGTTTTCTCTGATTGTCTTTGCAAAAGTTTAACGACTAACAGGAAAGACTTGAAAAGGTCTGTGAAACGTGGTGCAATTTTACTTGACTTGTAAGATAAAATAAGATAAGATAAGATACATCTTTACTGTCCAGATCCTGGCACATAAGTTTGGTGTGTCACCACGTGTACACGTACACACACACACACACACACACACACACACACACACACACACACACACACACACACACATGCACACACACGTAGGCTTACAATCACATGCATAATATAAATGAGCAGCAATTAGTTTTAGTAGAGGGTTTAACGGCGCTCGCAACTGCATAATGTCATATGAGCGCCAAGGGGTGGGTGTCAACTGAGAATTCTTTACAGATGAGCAGCAATGTCAAAATTTTTTTAGAAGAGTTCAACATCAAACAACAGAACTACAGACCTTTCCCCTTCCAATAAATCCTATGTGAGGCAGCGTGGGGGAATCGGGCGCTCGTCAAAATAATTAAATCGAAGAAACCGGCATTTTTCTGGCTCTTGGGCTTTTTTTTCAAATTTTCTTTTTTCGGATCAACACCTTTTCTGTCCTTTTAGAAATGCATTTCTGTGTTAGTTAGTTAGTAGTAAAGGGTTTTACGGCGCTCGCAACTGCGAAAGGTCAAATGACATTTCTGTGTGGATGTTACAGAAAAACGTTGATGAAAGGCAGGAAAAGATGTAAATATCCAGTTTTCAAGGACACTCAAGCTTCGGAAGTCATCAAACTTTGGAAGCCATTTTCTCGCTAACTTTATCTCTCACTCCAGGCGACCCCCACTTCATTCAATCGCAAATATCTCAACTTCTATTTAAGACAGATGGGTATTTTTTTCACCAAATGCAAGACAAATAAACAAGCTATAAGATGATACCAATACCTTCCTATGCCCAAAAATTGACGAGAACCTGATTCCAGCAACGCATATTATAGCACGCCCACCAGAGATGATAAAGGAGAATCAGACTTACATAATTATCCCCGTCTGTAGCCACTATGTTGCTGAATACAGTTTTGGCCGGAGGAGTAGTTTCCAGGATCGTGGTGCTGTACTGCTTGGGTGCCGGGAAAGCTGGGGCCACCAAGTTGTGGTTGACGCTAACCTTGATCACGCACTCCGAGGTTCTTGGGGGGCTGCCCGAGTCGGATGCTTTCACACGGAGCTGGGGGGGGGGGGGGGGGGGGGGAGAAGAACAAGAAAGTGTGATCATGTTGCTGTTGGCACAATTAAAGCGGCTCCTGCTGCTGCTGCTGCTGCTGCTGATGATGATGATGATGATGATGATGATGGTGATGGTGTTATTGATGATGATGATGATGATGATGATGATGATGATGATGATGATGATGATGATGAAAATAAAAGGTAAAGATGTTCCAATGAGAATATGCACCCAAAAAAAAACAATAATAATGTTTTTAATAATAATAATAAATAATAAATAATAAATAATAAATAGCATTTGTATAGCGCATATCCCCGCTCAACAGCAGGCTCTATGCGCTTTACACTATATTATTACCCCAGCAGACCATAGAACATTCCGAAACATTCTCAGCTTCCCGGGAAGCATACAGTGCAAGCAGCCGATTAAGCGCTCAAACACTAACAAACTGACAAGATCTTTCGCTGTCTATAGCCGGGTACCCATTCCCACCTGGGTGAAGTGAGGAAAATTCGTGTAAAGTGCCTTTCCCAAGGACACAACGTCGGGTCCCTGACGGGATTCGAACCCACAACCTTACGGTTGCGAGTCCGAGAGCCTAACCACTAGGCCACCGACGCCAAGTACCAAGTACGACTCTCTTGACAATACATAACAAGCTGACACTCTACATACAGCAGGATGTATAAACAAGGTAAGAAAAAATAATCACAGGTGTATGTGAAAGGAAAATTTTCCAGAACACCAGGACTATCCAGGGCTTCTTAGAGGGAAGGACAAACCCAACCCCAAAGACCCATCGAATCTCTTATGTAGAGCTGATCAGACTTTGATATTCAGAGCGCGCACAGGACATTTACACACCAACAAGCACATAAATAGAATTAACCGCATGTGGGAACCCCATTGCAGACACTGTGACTACCACGAGGAGACCGCTGAACATCTTCTCCTTCACTGCCCAAACCTGGCAGTTCTTCGACGCAGGCTCCTACACACACCTACAGACTTAAAAAGCCTGCTTTACTCTGGCGCTGACCAGATGACAAGGACATGTTGCTTGAGGGAGGCATTGCGCTGCCAAGAGTGAAATGCTTGTAGCTAAAGGGATTTGAAAACAACAACAACAACAACAACTTAGAGGGAAGATTTTCTTCATTTGGCTTTTTAAGTCTAAACTCATGTAAACAACATGCTGGGCCCTTAATTAAGGCATTTTTCAGAAAATACCAAAAACACTTATTTCAAAGCTGTTTCAATAATTTGTTGGGCTTCTTTACAGTGTAGTTGCATCAATAATATTCAATAAATCATCATCATTATCACCATCCTTGTCACCATCATCAGCACCATCATCATCAATGAGCTCCTTTTCACATAGAACACAAATACTAACCTGATAGGATTCCTGACTGTTTGCTGCCAAATTCCCAGTGACAATGAGTCTCCTCTCATTTGTTGGGTCAAATCCAAAAAACAGATTGGCATTATCATCACCAATAATTTCCAGTTTGATAGCTCCAAATTTCTGAAAATGGATTTTTTTTTTAAAATTTTAACGAATATCGAAACTTCAGCCTTTCCATTATTGTACAACAGAAAAATAGCCACATGATGCAAAACATTTTAAAAACCTACGTCCCATCAGTTCTGCATTCTCTCTCACACTGCCCCTCCGTCCTTTTATCTTCTCTCTCTTTCTACTAAAATTTCTCTGTTTCTAGTTCAATCTCTTGTTTCTCACACGCACGCATGCACACACACACACACGCTTTCACACACACACTCATACACACGCACGTACGCATGCACATACGCACGCACACACACACATGAAGACACACGCACACACACGCACACACACACACACACACATACATAAACACAGTCAGCTCTTACATTTCCATCAATGTCCGAGACTTGGAGCACAATAAGCTCTGTGTTGGTTGGACACGCACGCACGCACGCACGCACGCACGCACGCACGCACGCACGCACGCACGCACGCACGCACGCACGCACGCACGCACGCACGCGCACACACACACACACACACACAGTCAGCTCTTACATTTCCATCAATGTCCGAGACTTGGAGCACAATAAGCTCTGTGTTGGTTGGACACACACACACGCACATACACACACACACACACACACACACGCACGCACGCACGCACGCACGCACGCACGCACGCACGCACGCACGCACGCACGCACGCACGCACGCACGCACGCACGCACGCGCACACACACACACACACACACACACACACACACACACACACGCACGCACACACACACACACACACATACACACAGTCAGCTCTTACATTTCCATCAATGTCCGAGACTTGGAGCACAATAAGCTCTGTGTTGGTCGGGGTGTTCTCTGGCAGAGGCACTGGCAGAAAGGGACAGTTGTCAAACCTGGGCGGGTTGGCATTCTGGGTCACGGTGTAGACCACTGTCGCTGTGCGAGGATTGACATTCTGAGGGCTGCCCAAGTCTCTTAGCCCCAGGGTGAACTGACAAAAAGAAACACATGACATGTACATTGATTGATTGATTGATTTGATTGAGTAGGTGTTTTACGGCACTATCGACTCAATTTTGGTCAATGACATGTACAAAATAGTGTTCCTTGTTAAACAACAACTCATCTAATAAAAAAGAGACATATGACATGTAGAAAATGAGGTTCCTTGTTAAAAAACAACTCATCTAATTAAAAAAGAGACACATGACATGTACAAAATGGGGTTCCTTGTTAAACAACAACTCATCTAATTTTTTTAAAAAGAGACACATGACATGTACAAAATGGGGTTCCTTGTTAAAAAAAAACAACTCATCTAACAATCAATAACAAATGTGAGGCGTGCTGACTTCTTCTTTTTCTTCTCGATCGCATAACAGTTGAAGTCTGGTATCTGTCAGAAATCGGGCCGTCCTGCTCAGCTCAGTTCATCTATCGGCCCGTATAGCTTCTAGGCATGCTGACAAAATGAGTTACTTCTCATTATCCACAAATGGATATATTGGCCAAAAATCGACACTAGGATCAAATTTGTAGGTTTTCTATTGATGCAATATTCATCAAGTATTAAATGCTTTTTGTTAATTTCATACTTACAAATTGTAAAAACTTAACCTGTAAGCATGATGTATCTATTTCCATGGGGCTCAAATCCGAAAAGTAACTCATTTTGTCAGCACGTTTCACAAATAACAGGAGAGCATCCCTTACGGTCCTATTCAGGTTAATCATCAAAGACATTCACTTGTACATACTGGGGTTTTTAACATATTTTTTTCTGCCTTTTACCGATCCATCAACAAAGTCCAGTTACTACATTGGGACTTCCCAGCCACAGCATTATCGATTATCGATGGGTTTTGTTTGGGGTTTTTTCTAAGACCCGGAAATTGAAACATATCTATCTAAACATGTGCTGGTACGCATTAATCACCATGATAGTATGTATCATTGTTTGATAAGCATGATAGTATGTATCATTGTTTGATAAGCATGATAGTATGTATCATTGTTTGATAAGCATGATAGTATGTATCAGTTACTACATTGGCCTCTTTGCTCAGTCACAGAATTAAAAACCTGTACAAGCAACCTACTAAGGAAAACTAAACAAATGGGCAATGGGGACAGATCAGGGAAACGTAGCTTTTTCAAGAGCATCCCAGCAAAGGAATGAAAGGAGAACCATGATCGCCGATGTCTGTCGCAGGTCCGGCATTGGATGATGATGACAAACTATCATGGACATCACACACACTGATTTGATTTTTCCAGTTACATTTGCAGCAGTTTGAAAAGTGCAGCAGTCCAAAATACTTTTTTTTAAAATCTATCACACACATTATACATAAATAAATTGCCAATACTGTAAACATTGGAAGTTTTTAAATGTTTATTCTGTGATCATAATAAATGCAAAGGAGGGCGTAATCAAAATTTTAAAAGGACATACCGAAAATGTGTTGCGACTTAATCCAGAAATGGATTTGATGAGGGAAATTTCACCATTTGAGCTGACGCGGAAATATTCCAGGTCTGGCTGGTTCGACGGGTTGTAATATATCTCCCACTGATTGTAGGGAGGCTGGGGGAAACACCAAAAGAACATACATTGCATACTTCTATACAGAAGTAACCAAAAACAAAGAATAGTAAGTCTTTTAAAATGGAAGACCAGTTATCATCAGGCAGCCTTTGATGTTTCCATGATAAAGAACAAAAAAATTAGTTTCATGACACTGACGTAAGTATGTATGTTTGAATTAAAAGTAATCGTTTGTTAATGCTGGAAATATGCAAGACAGATAGAAATAACAGCGGGAAGGTAAAGGAATGGGACATACCAAAGGTGTCTTCCAACCATTCACGACAACGTATACCACTGCTTATCAATGTCACATTTTGTTTGAACACATCTTTCTATTTTTAGCTCTGAGACCAGGCGTCCTCAACCTTCTTCCATCGCAAATATCTTCTACTGAAGATAGATGGTTACTCTTTTTCACTGACAGCAAGACTAATGAACAAGCTTTAATATGATACCAATAACTTCATAAGCCCAAATATTGACGAGCGCCTGATTTGACTGCGTGACATATTAATGTAGGTGGAAATAATCCAGAACAGAACAGTCTATACCTGAGTATCCGCATCGCTGGCATCCAGTTTATCAATGGTGGTAAAAAGAGCTTGATCTTCGAAGATAGTGTTGACGAATCGCAGGTTGGAGCCCTCGGCAGGCACAACCCAGGCTGGAATTCTCAGATTCTTGTTCAAAGAGATGACAAACGTTGTCACGTTGGCAAGTGGTGGCTCTCCATTATCGTATGCTCGCACCCGCACCTGGTAAAAGCAGACAAAAACAAGCCAAATTCATTTATTCAAGAGCAAGACATGATAACTAGAAAGAAAATGTAAGGCAAAGAGCAAAAGGCTTATGAAAATAAAGCAATATTCCAAAACATTCTATAAACAACTTTCTAGTCATGAAACTGTAGTGGTGGCAAGGCATAGGGGCAGTTATACGCACCACCAGCTCAAAGGGTTAAGACACCTATGTTGTGGATTTGTAGTTTATAGTGGGTCAGAACTACAACAGTTTGACTCACTTGGAACACTTTAGAGCAATAAGAAACGCCAGAAACCTGAGTAAAGAGAAGAACATTGACCTGGGAAAGACCTATAACAAAGAGTGCACTGTGAATTTGCTCATCTTAAAAAAGCAGATGTCAATTTGAAAATTTACTTTTAATGAAAATTTACTTTTAAAGCCTCAAGCCTATCATTCTGCAGGAAGAAAAGCAGTTATTTGGATTTTTCAGAATACCAAATGGAAACGTAGTATAAACAATAAATAAACATAAAACAAACACCGATAAGCTCACTTAAATAGATTTCAGCCCAGTGTTCTTGCCCTAAACTATACCCCAAGCGGTAAGTATCCGAAAAATTTAGAAAGAACTAAATAACCAAATGAAGAAAATTCTGAACGGCAATATAAAAAAAAAATTTCAGCTGAAAAGTGTAGAGGAAGAAGGAACAGATACAGGAACTTACATAAAGGACATTATCATCCACATTCTGCACACTACTCCTGAGAGTGACGAGGCCAAAGTTGTTGATGTCAAAATAACCTGGGCTGGGACCGTCGCCGATGATTTCGTAACGGACAGTTTCAAATGTGTTCTGGGAAGAAAACAAAAGTTATTCAATGAAATGTGAATGCAAACCACCACGGTAACGGGGGTAAAAAACTGCAATTCTTGGTATTGAGACATAAAAAATAAATAATAGCTATGATATGATTCGAAAACTGAATAATTTTAAATATTTTTCGATTAACCGTATGATCTCACCTACATATAGTGTGGTGTTAAGCTTTTAAGGAAAAAAGTTTGAGAAAAGGGACGAGCTTACAATAATTTTCAAAAAGAGAAACAGGGGTGAAAATTTATGTGAGAGAAGCAAGACAACACATAAAATGCGTTCTGGACAACATAAGGGGACACAAATGTGCAATAAAGAAACACAAGATGACATTAAACTCACAACTTCGTCATTATCCCGGGCAGTCACTTGTGTCACCGAGTTGCCTACGGGGAAAGTCTCTTCAATAGTTTTACTGTAAGTCGGCTCATTGAGGAAGAATGGAGTGAAGGTGTTCCTATAAACGCTGACAGTGACGGTCGCTGTGTTGACCGAGAGGTTAGGAACGTCTCCATTGTCTCGGGCGGTAACGAAGAGCTGTGGAAACAACAAATTTTGTCCTGAAGAGCTACCTGCAATATTTACTTACACTAGACTTGTCATTGAAGCTTTTAGTTTCAGTAAGAATTTTACGGCACTTGCAACATATTAAGGTCATATAAGTGCCGAAGATTAGAGGAGTTACAAGAAAGTAACAAACATAAAACAAAAGGAGGGGAGATAAAGCCGATAGATGTTTGATAGGAAAGAAGAAGCAAACCACATCAGATCACCCGCCAACCACCCACGTCATTGAAGCTTCAGACATGCTAGCCGAGATGTTGGAAAGTCATGAGCACCTTTAACCAGAAGTGACAAAAGATAAAATACTGTCACATTTCCAGTTTAGCACTTCGCAATCGCAACACCAGACAGCCCCCAACAAATATAGTCCTGCTATTAATGAAGCAGATTATGAACAAAAAGAAAGAAAACTTCATCTTTTATCTCATTAAGCAACAAATGAAAATGATGACGACGACAATGATAGCCATGATGATGAAAATAATATAGATCACAGTATAAATGGTTGCTTTTAAGCACAAAGGGCAATCCCGAAAAATGCTGTTTTGAGAAAATCGAAGGTAACGTTTTTAGACCTTTGTTCAGGTTCTTTAAGTCAAGGAGAGTTTTTCTCTATTACCAAACAATTAAATCTACATACCAAAAAAACCAAACTTCTCCTATTGGTAGGGCAATGCCCACTTTTGGTGTAGGTCAATATTTCTGGAAACCCCCAAAATCTGGGTTAGCCCGCTTGTCCTTAAAAGCGACCAAATGAGCAAAGAAGAATGCAAACTAAAGCTTACAATGTAACTTGTAGCAGTGTCCCTGAGCAGAGATGTCTTCAGTCGGATTTCACCAGTGCCGCGGTCAATTTGGAAATAATTTGGAGCACTTCCAGTTCCAACAATCTCATAGACGACTTGCCCTGCAGCTCCCTGTGGCACATGTCAAACAGAGATGTACGTAAATAAAACACTTCATGAACAACAAATACCAAGAGACCAGCCCAAGCAATAAAATTATACATAGACGAAAGCATCCATGAACATTTTTGCACAGTAAAAGTTTCTAACAGCATCATAAAACAAAAACATAATGCAGTCTAAATGCAAAAAATGATTATGAGATTTTTTTTTCTGTCCGCGTGGTTTTATGCACCCCCGCATAATTTAGCAAAATTTGATTATTTTTTGCATAATTTCTGTTTATTTTCCTTTCTCATTCTTTGTTAAAATTAACAAAATCGCATAATTTCACATTTTTGGGCTCAGCATAATTTCAGAATTTTCCTTGCATAAAACGATGGGGACAGTTTTTTTAAAGAAAGGAACCTGAAAAAGAAAGGAGCTCATTTCCCTTGACTGTTCAAGAAGACGTCATTACAGTTCAAAGTGGACTTGGTGTTCCTCATCAATTGTAAGAAAGTGCACAAGTAATTATGAGTACATAACAATAAGTTCACAAAGTTATCTTACTAAACTGACAGACAAGACAGGTCACATAAAAAAAATCAACATTTAACAACTCAAAAACAGAGTAAAACATATCTGGATGATTCACAGGCGACAGGTAATCTCTAATCGTCTATGAAACTATTTGTAAGACCAACGCTTCAGTTGAAAAATTGTGCTTCTCCATCCAATAGTCCAAAACGCTCTGAACTAATACATCAATTAACCCTATGAGCCCAGACCTTCTCAGGCTACAGTGCCTCTCTGCCTGAGCTCCTAAGCAATAAATTACTAGCGTCAATAAGATCATCAGAATCACTTTCCATATCCCACCCAGTATAGTCCTCGTCACTACCAGCATCTAATTCAGAAAGCTCTTCAAAATAATCAATAACATCCTGCGTAGTAAACACTGTTTTCCGCATGCATTTCGTCTCTGGCGGGCCAAGCTGGAGATAAGGTCTCGCTCACCAGTGTCCCGGTGGCTAGGCATATGGCCAGTTTCACACTGTATCGGTATACCGGTGGCAAGGGCTCAAAGGGTTAACCCTATCCGTACACCCTGGGGTCATTTATTACCCCCCCCC